TTTTCCTGAGCTTTGTGGGTGCCACGGAGTATGGTATTCCCACTGAATACCTAATGATTTCCATAATAATTTTATTATTTTAGAAGTAAGGTGTGTGCCCTGGTCAGAATCAATGTACTGGATTATCCCATATCTAGGTATCAGGTGTTCTAATAGAATTTTTACCACCATTTGTGCCATAGCTCGTGCTACGGGATAAGCTTCTACCCATTGTGTTAAATGATCTACTATTACCAATAGATATTTTATCCTCTCTACTTTGGGCAATTCAGTGAAACCAACTTGTACTTTCTCAAAAGGCCTATAAGCTGTTTTGTTTTGTTTCTCCCTCCCGTGGCTGCTTGTTGAAACACTTTCTTATTTATCTTCTTACAAGTTAAGCAACGGTTATGTAATTTGCTTTGCTATTTCAAAAAAAAACAATGCAACCAAATTGTTTTAGTAAATGATCACTTAACACCTTTGTACCCCAATGTGTTTGTGCATGCAAACGTCCCAATATTTGCTTTGCATAAGCTTTTGGCAGTATCTCTCGCCTGTCTGGCAGCGTCCATTTTCCTTGTTCTAATTTAGCCCCTATTTTCTCCAGTTTCGTTTGTTTGTTTTGTTTTGTTTTCCATTGCATTTCATAGTCGGTCCAAAAATTCCATAGGGGTTTCTTTTGGATTTTGTTGGAACAGATTCTCAATTCCCAATTTAACCAGATTTTGGTATTTATCGTTCATTATTTCCGGGGTGACTATAGTCTCAGCATGGGGTCGGTCAGGGGAATGCAATTGTCAACAGTTCCCTGAGCGGTCCCATTGGCAATCTGAGCTCACTCATAAACTCAGATTGTTTTAAGAGTTAACTGCTTTTCTGTTTCCGTGACAACTCTCTGACTGTCATGGTCCCTCTGCCCCAAAGGGCTCACACCGGTGATTTTGAGATCACAGCCTCCCATTGAGGCAGAACTATTAACATTCCTACATCCTCTTTCCCTGCTCATTCAACTTCAAACAGCTCTGTTAAATACTACATGCCACACCTTTAACACCTTCAACAACTCTTTTAACCCTTCCTTTATTTTTCTCCAGCCTGTACTTTTCTCATGCCAACACCAAAGGCTAAGTCAGGGGCCAACTTGCATGTAATTCCACTCCTTTTCCCTCTAAGATGCTGAAACAACATATCAGTATACTACATTTCATCCTATTTTTCTTCTCTCCTCAGAAACAACATTAATTTAATTGCAAGATAGTGTTATAGTCGATTGATCCATAAAGTGGCCATTCACTTTATATAGTGGCCACCACTGATTGCAATATTTAGTGAAAGTCCTCTTGCTTTCTGTGTCCCCAGTTCTAACAATATCCTTTGAATGTGACAATATGCACCCGAGGAGGCTTTCTTTAAAACATCTTTGTTTTGGATATTACCCATTTCCTTGATTTCCCATTCCCTTTTATTTGTTTGTTTATTTATTTATTTAGTATTATTCCTTTCTAGTTACTGTCCTTTGTTTCAATTTCCACGCAAACCTTTTTACTGCGGGTTTTTACAATCTTTTCCTAATCTCCTTCCCAAATGTCCCAATTCTCTGGGATTAAACTCTTCTTCCCACATACAAACTTCACTATTTCAAATTATTAACGAGCCCCGTTTCAATCATAAATCCACGGAACTTCAGGAAAACAGCTGAAGCACTCAGCCTTCCGTCTTCTAGACAAACATTACCACCTTCTCCACAAAAATTTACATTTCAACAGGACCGAATTTCAAGCCAAATGCCAATTTTTCTCATGCACTTTGTTAGTAAGCCCATACAAAACAAGGAATCACTCCTGTGTATCCGTCAATAGGGGGGTTTAAAAGGTATTGATGCCTAAATAAATTCGCTCCCCCCCCCTCTTACCAAATTCCCAGGGCTCAAGCCCGAACCACCAAAGAAATGACTCTCTCGGTTCTGCTTTGATAATCAGTCAACCCCCTCCCCCCCCCGCCAGTACTTGGGAAACTGACCAAACACCACAGCAAATATACCAGCACTTCTCAACTGTTAGTTACTTCGATAATGCTCCCACCTTTCTTGTCACACTCAAAGCATTTAAGAGCAAAAATAGGATCACAAGATACACTGCCAGGCCCATATATTGGGCACCACCACTCAAAACTTGGATAAAACAGCACTTCTTTTTGGTTTCTCACGCACTTCGTTCGTCTCCGCCCACTCCCCTTGCGGAGAACATGGAACTGCGGATCGGAACTCCGCACTCGCTTTGCAGCGACGCTGCGTCTCACTCACACAGCACAATCACACAATCACACAGAGAGGCCTCTAGCACATCTCATTCATACCACAAGAATATAATTTAGAATGATAACCAACCAAACGAGTATTGTCTCTGACTGTGTTCTTCGTGGAGTGACTTATTCCACTTTGTTTCAAACCCTTCCACTTACACAAATACTTTCAACACAAAATACCTGGACATTTAAGAATAAGACATACAATTATTAACATTCCAGTTAGTATCCCTCCAGCAGCTGAAAACATACCGTTTGTCCGCAGCCTCAGGAGATCTTTGTCTGCTCCTGCGGTGAGCGGCTGAGAGTGGAGTCCCCTCCGAGCAAAACACTCAGGGTGCACCTAGGGGCGTCTGCTCCGCAGCCGATCCTGCAGCCGAGCAGAGTGTCTCCTGCCTGGCTCACCAAAATGACTCACAGAAAGCTGACTCCACAATCAGTAAGATTGTAAAGTAGGTATGTTTACTCAGTTCTGGGCGGCACGGGGGGGGGTAGTCCTGCCAAAGTCATGCACGCCTAATGTGACAACTTGCTTTGGTTATATCTAGTAGAGTTACATATACATGAAGTTTCCCAACACTCCTATACATATGCATAACCTGTCCCTTTGTGAACAGTCCTCCTTATCTCAGACCCCTTGGTTAAAGTCCGAACCATGAGGTTGTTTTGATCTGGTTCTTGGGGTCTGAGAGGCTCCTGTTATCTGGAGGTCTAAGCGCAGCACAGGCATAGTACATCACAAATGTAGCACATACTCATTCTTAATCAATTGCTCTCTAATTTCTAATTCCATGTTTCAGCTGCAGCATACTTGCTCTCTTCCGGATCCGCGGGTATTCTACTATTAACATTAATGTTCAAAGCCTGACAGACCCTGTCCTCCGTGGACCCAAATATCAACCAAAATACATGGGGTCTTAAGGGTTCTTTTGGTGTTTCTATCATATAATAATGGACCATTTTTAATTTACTTTTTCATTTTCTGGGGCCCCTATTGTTCCAATTTCTAATCGTTATTCCTAATGGACTTTCTGATAATTTGCTCCCTTTCTTCTGGTCCTTGGTCTTCAATTCTGTCTGACCCATCTAGGAATTTTACTATGGCAATTCCCACAGCCCTTGGTTACCTTAGTAAGAGTGTCTTGCAGGGGGTTTAGGACCTATCACCCACCCACGAATCCTATAGGAATCACTTCCTTCACTGGCCAAGTCCCTCATGGGAGATTGGAACCGCGGTTAGAAGACCTCCACACTGACTTCGGAAGTCTAAGTTACACTCTTACACACACAGGCAACCGAATCCCACCGAACCAAACGGTATACTCCTTAAACACTTACGACTCCATTGTCTTCGTTCGGATCTTCGCGTGCAGAATTACGGGCAAAATACAGTGCTGCAGCCGGCAAGGGAGCTCATAAAAAAAAATCAAATTCTTTGCTTACCTTTATTCAGGCCCAACAGGGCTCTGGGACCAGCCGATGCAGTTTATAGCATGAGAGGTCAACTGATGACAGCACATAAACATTTGATTCCAAATTAACAGGATATTCCTGTTCTCAAAAGCTGCTTGTCCTCTTGGAGCTTTTGGCTGTGTTATTGTAAATTAGTCAACAGTGAAGGAGCACAAATAGTATTTAAACTGTCATCCAAGTATGAAAATGGGTCAGATAAAAATGGCAAGTCACAGCTCACTGAGCAAGAGGTTAGTCACCAAACATCTCATGTTGCCACTAATGTCTTGTCGGATCTGTAGCATTCAGAGCAAAGTTCCAAATGATAATAACAATTTGAAGTTTTTGTCTAGTAATATACAGTCAAAAACCTTGCCTGTAATTCCAAAAGGTTAGACCAGTTAATCTAGAAACTGGCTACAATTTACGTTATGGGTTTTCTCACACTTCTTCACAGCAGCTCATGGAAAAAACAACAACTTTAGTCTGGCTTCTTGGAGGAGCTTGAGTTGTTGGTGATTCTGCCTAGTGAGCTTGCAGGGTGCTTGAAAAGTTTTTGTCCTAAAACACTATAAATGATACACGTAAGTGACAGATGTAAAGCACAGATGGAGGACCATGGAATAAGTTTGTGGCCCCTCACTGGAGTGATCACAAATCAGACTGGATCCAGTTAGATTGCCTTGTTTGAAAAGTCAGAATTGCTACACTGAATATTCTTGAGCTATTTCACTGTGTTTTGTTTAAAGCGGATCTCCTGGACTTGGCCACTTTGTCCTTGTGACCACTTCTGTCCAAATGTTACTTTCCACTTGTATGTCAAAACTTTTTTTGTTTCTTAGCTGCTCTAGAGCTGGGTCATTTTAAAACTTGCTTTGAATATAACAAAAACTGATGGCTCCTTCTATAGAGGCATAACAGAACGCAACATTCAGGAGAGCTTCAATTTCTGGTTGTGTAGGCATAGTGTTGTCATGAGGGAAGCTAAGATGCTGGAATATTAACTTCAAAATCTGCTTAGCAATTGGAGTGTTTTAAAATATAGTTATGGACTAGAATATTCTTTTAAAAATAATAAAACTGAAGCAATGAAGTCCAGGCATATTCAGTGTGTTTCTTATCACTCAACTTCCTTTGTATTGAGTCACATTGTGTGGTTGGGGTAGCAGAGAAAGAGTAGCTGCCAAATACAGAAACATGAGATTTAACTGAATGCATCAAATTTGTAAGGTTCTTGATACAATTTCTTCTTGTGATCTTAGGGCCTTTCAGTTATCTCGACGACGTCCCATTTAAGATAGGAGACAAATTTAAAACCTCTTCGAAGGTTGGATTACCCATTGGTTTCTGCCTGCCTGATTCTTCTCAGCTTGTCAGAGAAGCCCAGGTAAGGATGGTTTGTGTACTTCTGCTCTTTCCTCTGTGACCTTAGGTCTTCAACGTGTGATTCTGTGAACTATATTTTGTTCAGGTGTTAGTCTTCACCGTGCTATACTGTTATTTCATAGTCTGCTAGAATGTAGAGGAAGATAATATTGTAAGCCATGCAAAAAGTTTGTACTACTTATCACTATAAAAAGTCTGATGGCATTTATTTTAATGTATCTACTCCAAAAAAACCCACAGTGTTCTTGTGTAACAGATAAAGGTTTAAATGCTACCCTGACATTGCTAAACTAAGTTGTATTTTTAAGAGGAAAGATGGTAAGAATTGAAACACCAATGCTATGGCATACCCTCAAACAGGGTTCTACAAGTATGAACATATTCTGTGCTATCTCTGTTTTCCAGCCAAGCTGGGGTTCAAATACAGTACGCCTGGTTGGATTGCAATGCCTCAAATAAAATGATGTGATCATGTAGGCTATGCCTTGCACAGAACTACTTGGCTTTTTTTACAGTTCTGGTGGGAGCTATTCAAAATAGTAAAAGTGCATGGAGGCTAAATTGACCAAAGCCATGTACCTAGTATTTCATGCTTCTAAACGTGTGTTTGTATGTATACAGCTATGATAGCTCTGCTCAGATGGCAAAGTGTGGAATGAATAGTGCCCAGCACTTCTGCCAGTGAGTTGTGTTTCAAAATCACCTTGTTGATAAATTGCATGTCCCATCTCTTAGAGCTAAGGGAAGGGAAAACTACTTAGTATAGAGTTGAGATAGGTCTCCAGGTTCTCTCTGGAGCCTGCTATGGGATGGATAGCACAGTGTGAGCCCCAGAAAAGCCCAGCAGAGGCGTAGCAAACCTTCCAACTTGTTGCTCTTCAGAGCTAGGATAGGATGTCTTATTACCCGTTCGGTTATGTGACATCATCCTGGCAAGCAGGCTGTAATTCTTGTGAGTCACAGGTAGGTTACACCCTGGACTTAGCTTTGTAGGCTGTGTTCTCTGAATGTTTTGTCATGATATGGAGGGCACTAAGGGTGTTTGGTCTCTGTAAGATATTAAAGCTTCACATATATTTAGTGTGTTCAGAATTTTGTCTTCTCAGTCAGGCTACCAGAATGGCCTGTGCGCTGGTAGTGAGTAGCTTATCTAAATGTCTTATGTGCTAACCCAACCCTGAAGGAGCTGATGTCAAATGAGAAAAGCTTGTGGGATCCAGTCATGCCAAGAACAGTGGCAAAATCTGCTACTATAGAAAGTTGTTCTCAGAGTAGCCAGCACATCCCCTTTGGCTGGTGAGTCCTTAGCACAGGTATGAGAATGCTGATACCTCTCCAACCAGTGGGTCTAAAGTTAGTGTCAGGTCCCTTAGGAATCTTTTAGGGGAACTGATAAATACATTAATGCTCTTTGGAGGCAAAAGTTACTCTGCTGTAGTATTGAATGCCTTGTTCAGTGGCGCCAGATCTGGGTGTGACTGTCTATCACGCATGACATCACTGTCACTGACACCTCAAGCTTCCACTTATGCTCTGCAACAATTAAAACATCAGGGTGTTATCAGCACTCTTCTCATCCTAAGCCAAAACATAGCATTCTACCAGCTACTAGGAAGAAAATTAACTGTTCTAACTGAAACCAGGAAAGCTTCTCTTAGCAGTTTGCTGAGTTTAGCCGAACCTATCTTCATGAGGCAATCAATGTGCCTGTTCCTGTCCTGGTCTCCATTCTGCCAGCCTGTTCCTCTTCTCTTTTTTTTGTCCTGCTTCTTTATTGATGTAACTTCATCGTGTTGCCTTTTTTTATCTTGAGGGCAGGCTCCCCTCTTATACCCTTCTCTCCACAGCAGTTCTTTTCAAAACAACTTTTCATTGGTCAAACAACTCTGAATGTAGCAACAACAGCAAACACCCAGAAACTTCCATGCCTTAATGGCTGGAGAACAAGAGAACCATCTGGAGAACAAGCAACCCTGAGACTGCATGGAGTCTCCTGAATCACCCTTTTTTGTCCCCTCTAAACTCTTTTATATTCCTGATGGCCTCATCGTTAAGAATCTAATGTTATCTCAACCACAGTGCTTTCCAACCCCCATGGCCACATTCCCACATCTCCCCCTTCTTTATTGGTATCAACCATTTTCTCGACAGGAATTACCACTCCATATATAACAAGCCCCACATTGGGCGAGTAAAAAACAGTAAGTTATCATGGATTTGGGGTAGGAGATTTGAAGGAACCAATCTTCCGGCAGTATCGGACAATAAATGGCACAGAAACTATAGTAATGCTTATTGTACTGGAGCAAACAATTTGTGAATAGCATATGCCAACACAAATGTGCCTGTACCAGTAGCCGTTTTAGACTGTACTGATGATTCACTGAAGTTTGCAGAGAACTGCAGTCATATCCACACCACTTGACACAGCCAGGTAGGAGGTTCCTAGAGATACTGATGAAATTCCAACATGGAATGAAACCGGTACAGCACCACACTCTTTGAAAACTTTGTTCAGCTGCTGGGATTTATTGAGTTTCTTGTTTTCACTGCTGAGATCTGTGGCTGCCTTTTCAAGGGATCCACCCACATCCTTGGCCAAGCTGCCAGCGGTGGGCTGAGGATGGGCCAGCCCGAGGGTGGGGGGTAGCAGGGATGGAAGGCAACGGCAGCGGCAGCGGCTTGCGGGGACCCAGGGAGCGACAGGCCCGGGCACAGCAGCAGGCAGAACATGGCAGCACCCAATGCATGCGGGCAGGCGCTCAAACCAGAGAAATGCAGCAGCTAGCTGCAGGGCAGGCGGGCAGGTGCCCAGAGCTGGCAGCGGGGCTGGCAGCGGGGCTGGCAGCGGGGCTGGCGGCGCTTTGCACCAGGCGTTCTGTCAGTCCCACACGGTACTGCTAGAGCTGACACCGCCGCCATCACCTCCTGCTACTCGGCTTTCATACCGCAGAGCGCATTAATCACTGTCCGCCATGTTCCACTTCTTTATCCAGCTTTCCACTTGAGGTGACTTTATCTCATAAGCGATCTCCTACCTCCCACCACTCTTCTGGGCTCACAGCACTACTCTTTCCCCGTCTTCATCGACTCCTCCATTCTCCCATAGAAGTTTTGAGGTCTGGGTCGATCACCAACGTCCCGGGTCCCACCGTGTTTGGGCGCCATTTGTTGCAGGAAGAATGACCAAAGTCATGACATATACCAATATGGTCAGATCAGGCTTCCCTTATTACCCAAATAGCCTGATTCTTATAGCAATCTAGCAGGGGCGTACAGCATCTAACACAATATTGGTCGAAAGCACTCAGACAAACAGCTGCAAGAAAACAACCCCACCTGCAAGAAGACAACCCCCTTGTGATTAGCAGTCGTGTAGATCTTGTCCTTGAAGTCAGGTGCTGGCAACAATATTTTTAATTCCTCAATCGGGCGATAAAGGAACATCATCATGGGAACTGTTATAAGTTAGACCACACAATTTTCTGGTCTATTGAAATTATTTTATTAATCAAGTAAGCAGACACAAGCAAAACAGCGCTGGGTGGCTGGGGAGTCTCCGCTCCACCACGGCATGCAACTTCCCCTTTCCAGTGTCGCTGTTTTATAGCATTCAAGTTCTGGCTTGTCGAGACTTGACCTGTCGACTTGTCGACTTGTCGACTTGACGAGACTTGTTCTGAGGCTGCGCAGTCTGTTGTTGGGGGTCGTTATTCTTCCTCCGGTGATCATGCGTTGTGCTTGTGTTCAGGTGGGGGCAAAATAGGATGTCTTGCAGTGAGTGGGTGGTATCTTACAAAATCTTTGTTTTAACAAGGATGTTTACCCAACCCCCTTTCCCCATTTCTCCCCATGTTACAATGCCGTGAGTGGTGAAACCTTATCTCCTCAGTAGATTCTTTAAATTCTCAAGGACAATGAACAAACCCCTACTAATTTATCACAGGAACTCCTCGTAGTCGTCCTGGTAGCTTTGGTTTACTCAGCTGAAGCAAGTCATGGCCTCCTTGCTGTTTCAAAAATCCCTCAACATATAAGTATGTTGTTTACAGGGAAAGAAATGAGAATGATCAGGAGGAGAGCTGCTATACAAAAATGGGAAAGAGCTCATCGTCCAGCAACCCTGAGACTGCATGGAGTTTCCTGAATCACCCTTCTTTGTTCCCTCTAAACTCTTTCACATTCCTGATGGCCTCATTGTTAAGAGTCTAATGTCATCACAAACCATGGGGCTTGCTGACCCCCATGGGTTCACTCCATATATAACACAGGGATGAATCCCGAGGACCCCGTATCCCAAGGGCTCTTAAAAGTTAATTTTGTAATTAAAGCCTGGGAAGATACACGGAAAATGCTCTGGAGGGTGGGGGGATGTTGTGAACAGTCACTGGGGGGTCCTCCTGCGGGAGGCCCTGAAGGTGTGTGTCAGGAGGGGAGATGAGAAGGAAAAGCAGAGAGCAAAACTAATGGTATTGACAGTGTAGCAGGTAGTCAGGGCGAGGATGGAAAGGGAATTGAAGGCCATGCATGGTCTGTGAAGCATCAAATCGATTGTGAACCTGGATTACCCACTCAGTGGGGAAACGGGAGGGTTCTGCCATCAAAAAGTATATGAATTGTGTTTTGGAATTAGTAGGTGCACTCTCCTGCTTGTGGGGCACCCACCATTGCAATCGCAAATAAATTACTACTTCACTGAGATCCTCGCCTGAGCCTAAGTTGTTGGCTATGGAGTGTTTCTCACAATAGAAATATCCGGAGTGGAAGAAGGAGAGAAGGAAAATGGGATGGGATACGATATACTGATATAGTGTTTCATCATCCTGGAGGGAAAAGAGGTATGGAATTAATTTGGCCGATGACTGGATGACTGAGATTTTGGTCAAAGTACAGGCTGGAGAAGGATCAAAAGAAGTGTTAAAAAGGGTTACTGAAGGTGTAAAAGGTGTGGTATGTAGTGTTTGACAGAGCTGTTTGAAGTTGAATGAGCAGGGAAAGAGG